TTGGCAACCTTTCTCTTCGAATAATTAAATGCCTAGACAGGTATATACTATTGTCTGGCAAGAATCATTTTCTAAATTTATAAATCCTTTTAAACATAAATATTTATGCTTTGGTTGATGACTCAATACCAGCATAAAATAGTACAAAATTGCTACAGAAACAACGGTAAGCAATTGTTCTCAAGTTCTCAAGTATATTGATGTGTGATCACAGTAAGCCGACACGATATATTTGCGGAATTTGCGATAGATATTTGTATAAATTTTACCATGTAATATTCTAAATATCTAGAAGGTCAGTTAAACTTGAGCAACCGTTGTAAACGTTGGAGCATTCAAACATTGGACTTTAAACGGGTAGATATGTAGATTGCAGTATTTCTCAGCATGTCAACTTTTACTACTTCACGCTAGTTATACGATTAGTAATGGTTAAAGTATGGTAAAGTAATGCATACGTCTACCTGCGACTAAGAATACAAGTCTGAAATCTAGAAAGTGACCTGCGTTGAATAATGATTTGAAAACTATATAAGCCATTATTGAACGCAGGACACTCCGACATTTTCAAAATTCTTCGGGAACTTTGCTCTTGACAATAGACACGAAGTTAGAATACTCCTTACACCTTTAACTAACATGGCGCAGTTTATCATAACGTTGTCCAAAAGAAAAACAAAATTATTCTTAATAAAAGGACAAATAATAAAAACATATTTTATTCGATTTTAAATTCTAAATCTTTTTACATAAAAAAAGATGAAGACGAAATAAAACAAAAAAGCAAAACCGAAATCTTTGTACGGAAGTATCGAAAATCGTAAATCCTCGTGTTTCCTTCATCATGTTTCCTCTTAGGAAAAAATAACGGGTTTTTAAACATGACAGAATCTTCAAGTCAAAATTATTATTACCGTACTGCATATTCTGATATTTAAAAATAAACATTTTGCAATAAATTTCACACAATATTTCAAAGAATCTTTAATCTAAATATCAAAAGATTAAGGCTAGCTTGTTACAATCAAGCTCGAATGAGCTACTAATTAATGTAATGGAACAGACTCTCCATCGCAAAAATCGTTCAAAGAAGAACGTTATTATTTATTATTATATCTCCGTATTGCCGACAGGCAGCGCGACGTACTGCGAGGCGCAATGTCTCACCGCCCACGTTGCAACTATAAAGGAAAGAGCAATGGGTCGCTAACCAGGATTAATCAAGCCGCAGACTGTCGGCGCGCGATTCGTCCTTTAGTCGTCACCCCGTTAATAGACACGTCGCGGCACAAAAGCCGCGCGCGAATTCGCGCCGGCAATTTTCGAATTTGCCAAACGAAAACGGCGCCGTTCGCCATTGTGATGGTAATGGCTGGCGTGCCGATCGGCGTGACGGTCGATCGTTCGGTCGAGCGTGTTGCGCATCCTTTAAAATTTAAATCGACTCGAACGGTCGATCGAGGAAAGAAAAAAAAAAAGGAAAAGCGGACGGGCCCGAGCGTTCGACCTAATTCGACCGGCCCGCTGATAACGGTGACGTCACACGACGTGCTCTACTCGTTACTAGTCACGGACCATAGTACGTGACGAGCGCGGTGACGAGCGTGACGATAATAGTAGTACTACCATCGCGTACTACGTGTGTTACGCGTTAATGTTAATCCTCACCGCTCTCGTGACACGCTTTCGGCCGGCTCGCATAGGCGGCGATTGACACCTTAACAAACGGCGAAACTTGAGCGGCTACAACTTATCTCGCGCGGGTTTCGCATTCATAAATTCACGGAGTGAGCAATCAAATATATGACGTAACCGGAAAGAGGATGATTTTACGGTGCGAAATGAGTCGAAACGATGGAGGAAATTTTTTTCGAACAAGGTCACGTTTTCGAGAACAACACACTTTGAGAGTTAAGCGTTGAATAATTAAAAGAAAAAATTATTTTTGCAATTCAAGAATTAAAAGGATAGAGTATAAATAACTGGTTCTAATTCAATTATAATTTTCTAAATCACTTTTTTTACTCGTAAAAAAATATATCATTCCAATTTATTTTGCGTAGAATTATTTCCTTTCCTTTTGCGCCCATCCTGTATATACGTACGATCGTAATACGGGATCACGCTGATTTATCCGTCCATTCGCGCGTAACTGCATTACTCGACGAACATTTTGCAATATCAAGAACAACTTCAGCGATATCAGAATCGCGTCTGCAGTACTCTCTCTCGTTAGCATTGTTACTCAGCAGCGTTTCCGCGCGTGAAAAAAAAAAAAAAAAAACGAAGGAATAAAAAAAAAATAAATGGCGCGTTTCTTCCGACGGCGCATGTGAAACGGAGAGAGAAAAAGGCAGCGTGAAGGGGGAAAACGTATGCGCGCGAATTAAATTATTTCAAAGGGAAGCTGCAGAATGTTTCTCCGTGATATTTTCGTCCCCCGCGGATCGGCCGCTGCGCGCGCGCGTGTCGCGTGTTCATTGCCTGTCGCGGAGGTGCGCGAAACGTGAGAAAACGAAAGTACGGTGGCCGGGGTCGCGTTCTCTCGCGGATCGATAATCGCGAGAGCAAGCCTCTTTCGTCGTCAACGCCGACTCCGTCGTCGTCGTCGTCGTCGTCGTTGTCGTCGTTGCCGTCGCCCTTCTTCCGGTGCTGCGTGCTGTGCGAGCTTGCGCGGTGATGTCATATATTCGGCCGAGTTTACTCGTGTTTGTAAACAGGCCGAGCGAAAGAGATGGACAATACAGTCGGAAAAAGAGAGGAGAGGCGAACGCGAGAGGAGGGAAAAAAGAAATGTCGAACATCTCTCTCAGGGCTGGGTTTAGGTGGGCCCTCTGACGACTCGCGCACCTGCCGAAAGATTGTTAATGACAAGGGAGACGCCAGAATCGCTGCTAGATAATGATGAGAGAGCTTAACTGTCTTTGTCTTACATTCAGATTGTATTATCAATTTTCATTAGAGAAAGATAAATATTTATTCTTATTTTGTCTAGGAGAACAAGACTCGGTCGGTTTATCGCCTATGTCTCAAAGATGAATTCTTTACAAATATATAGATTACATTGTCGACATTATTTACGAAATATTTTTTAAGTTAACAGTTTATAGCTTACGAAACCGCATAACAACTAAATGAACGTCTTTGTGTCGAGTCCCGGAATAGACAGGGAAAACGTGACCGTTCTCGCGTTACATTCTTGTTCTTGCAGTGAAAGAAAACGAGCAAGAAGGAGCATTCGTGATTTGCAAACGAGCGGCTCCCACGTGTCTCCAGCACTGGCATGCTGGAGCTGCGCAGACGTCTTGCGCGCGTTCCTTCCTCGTGTAACCCGGCTTTGTCGAGCCTCGGTTGCGTCGCTCTCTCGTTTTCTCGTACGCGGCCGTGACGTCACGTGCTGCAAGCTGAGCCTCGGAAGAGAGAGACACCACGTTAGCATCGGGTGCGAGAGAGGAGCGGTATCAGACCATAACCGGGAGTACGGGGAGGGGAGGGGTGAAGGGAAGGTGCGTCGCGCTATACCGGGTGTTCGGGTTAATCGACAAATTTGAATTTTTCCTCAGGAAAGAATCTTTCCTTCGACGAGATACTAATAAAATTTTAAGAATTAATGAGACTTGAAAAGTGAAAAATTAAAATACGAAGATTCGGTCCGAGTTTACATAAATTGAAATCTCGTTACTCGCATTGAATTCGTAGCGAGATACTTACGATGGGAACAAAATGACAATTTTACGCGAAGTTTTTATCGGGAGTAAATCTGAGATTCGCTTCTGAATTGTAATTGAAAAAAGTATCCGATGGCTCTGAGACACCCCGTATACGAGACGGTGCGTTGAGCACGCACGCACTGTTACTACGCACGCGATGACGCTGTCCGTGTGTGGCCGTTGCCGCCGCTGGCGGATTTCGGAAATATCAGGCTGTCCGGAATAGCCTCCACGTTAATCTGACAGAGCGCCTCCGGGTTCTACGAACAAAACAAAGCAATTCTTGCGAATACGCACAGATGCAGATGCGTTTCGTATTCTACGTCGGGCATGACCGATGAGTCTCTCAAATCGACATTAAAAATCGTGGTCGTCATTTCGAATAAAGAATAGAGGATCGATATGTAATAATGTAGAATACATTACATGAGTGCAAGACAAAAAATATATCTATTTCTTACTATATAGTTTTTGAAGATTTAAAGAGATTAGCGATTATTAATTATTATTATTATTGTGCACTCACGTAAATTATATTTTTATATGTTTTTTTGGAATAATTACCACGTGCAAAAAAGTTACTTCCTCATCTGTTGCGTGTAATAAGGTGACTCAGAAGCATTTCTGAGTCATTGCCATTGTTACATCGCATGTATCCACGTCTATATTTATTGCGATAATCATTTATTACCGTTATTACTTAAACATTCATTCGTTTGTATTCGAGTTTTAAAAATGAGGCATTTCGTAAACAAAATCGTGACGACTCGTCGACACTTCTCACAATCAATCCTCCATTGCTTTGTTTATTTCCATCATTTTTTTCTTCTCTTTTTCTGCCTTTCTTTGTATTGAAGGGGCCGCTCCTTTGAACGATCTGTCATATACCATACCGATTGAACCATCTCCCTTCTTCTTTTCTCGTTTGTATTTTGCTGGCCGGCATTGATGCACTCTCCACGATTCATCGATGTACCGTCTCTGAGTTTCTCCGAGATTAAATTCAGGCCAACCAATATTGCCTTGAAGCCAACCATACTGCCTCGATACCATGACAACGTCACTGGCTACGTCGGTTTATAGTGTTGAAGGAGCAAAATCGAATAAATCTCTCCTTCGTGACGCGCGTCAAGCAAACGAATATCTTCTTAAATTACTGTCCTTAAATTTCTATCAATATTAATTAATCTCGGCTAAACTTATTTTTTTATCTTTTTTTAAGAATTAAAGAAAAATAAAGGATATGAATTAAATCGAGGTTAATCTACATTGATACAAATAGACCCAAGCTTTGATCAGAAGAATAAAAAAATTTTAGTTTTATTTTAGGAGGCTTAAAGAATTATTGTTCAGAAAGACTCAATTTCCATTTCTCGTTACAAAATACGACACTTTATACGACTACTAATATTATAATAGAAGAAAAATGTCAAATGTCATGGTCACTTAAGTGTTGATGTTTTTTATTATATTTCCTATTTCGATTCTAATTTGTACACAAGTGAACATTGAAAATTATAGCTAACACTAAACTAGCAGACTATGCGCAACTCATCAGCAGATTAACAGAAATGCAATGTCCGCCTTCCATGTAGACCTTCCACATTCCGCGGGATCAAAGTTTCATACGTTTGTACAAATGTAACTCTCCGTGCGCGAGCCGACTGTTGATTCGCGCCCCCTCGATTTCGCCGAAAAACCGCTCCGTCGGCGAATCGGCACGAATGGTAAACAACGAAGGGTGAATTCGATGACTCTATCCACAGTGTTCGCGAGTCTCGCGTCGCGGTGAACCGACGCGCGCCGCGAATCGCGCGTACAGTTCGGCATTAGCTTTAATAATCCGCTTTCGAGCCCGCGGCGGGATCTGCCGCCGCGATCGATCTGTGCTGCTGATCCGACGGGCACATCTCGGTGAACAGATGAGGGGAGAAGTCGTACGATTGCGGAGACGCGGACGGTACGGCCGGTACATGAGCCGGACTGGAGAACGGGCTGGTACCGGGTTCGTCCGGGCTGCCGACCGCCCCTCGCCTCTTCCTCGCCCGGTACCGCTTCTGCTGCTCCACGATCTGGATCATCTCCGCCTCCTGCACGATCGTGAAGATCTTCGTCTTGGTGACGTTCAGGTAATAGGGGCTCAGCGACTTCAACGTCGGCGCGATGCTCGCCAGGAAGGCGTCCACGGAGTGGGACACCGACGACGCGGACTGGAACCTGAGATCGTTGCTCTCCTCGGAGTAGTCGGAGGTCATTAATTCGGGGATGGCCAATTTCGCGCTGCTCTCAATCGGAAATTCCCGTCCAGGCCGTTCGTTTTTTATCGTCGGCGTTTCCTCATCGTGCGACCGGTCCGTCCCGTCCTCCGTCGTTTCGAAATCGGCGACCGGTCTCGCTTGCATATCGCAATTGTCATCGCGTTTCAACGGCGCCGTGTCTCCCGCCGTCGACACCTCGTCACCTTCCCTGATAAGACCCGAGTGATTGGGGTCTCTCTCCCTTATGAATGGCAGCAGGAAGGTTAACTGGTTCTCGTATTTGTATCTCATGTTCCTGGGCTGTCCGGTCAGTCCGCTTCTCGTGACTCGTTTCTTCAGGGATTTCCGGTAATTGTCCCTGATGTTGTTCCATCGCATCTTGCACATTATTGCTGAATCAAGCGACAACGTGTTTTTGGACTGTCATGTATACAACACGGCTATCTCGCGCAACTTTCTCGATCTACGCCTCTCGCGGCGAGCTTAAGTTTCTTAATTAAATTTACACGTAGGTTTTTCTTTTTCTTTTACTCGACGCCCGAGTAACTCGAGATGAAGCATAATCGATTAGTTTACCTGGGTATCCGAGCTTTTGCGATATCTCGTTCCATACGCGTTGCTTGTAAGCCCCGTCGATGTATCTCTTGTCGGAGAGATCGTACAACTCCACGTGCTGTCGCACGCACTCGATAAGCATCTCGTCGTCCATCGGGGATAAACGACTAATTGGCGCGACTAGGTATATCGACTTCCTCGTTAATTCGTCAGAGAATTAAACGCGGACTGCGAATCTGCGTCGTCCGTGTCGGTTCACGGAACGGACGTTACTGACATCGATACCACTCGTCGAAAAGCTCCTTCGTAGTAACTTGCAACAGCCTGACACGGACTGGCACGGACGTACAAAATCAGGCACCGACCGGCACGGATTAACGACGGACGAAATTAATTAATTATATCTGGCACAAGCAGCTGATATTTACGACCGTGATTTAATCTAATTTATTCTCTTTCCTTTCAATTTTTTTCTTCTGCAAAGATACAATTAATGTAATTAATTGTACAAAAAAACTTTTAGCATGCAATACTGCATGGAATACTTGGAAGACTATGCGCAATATAATTCTTTCCAAGCATTTGTTAGGATGTTTTCGAAATCAACGATTTTCGAAGTCTCAAGACTTTTAATATAATATTACTAATATATAAGATAATATTTAATATTTATAATATTTTTTTATTTAATGGACGCAGGACGTGAAAAGACGAAATATTTTTACATTGTATTTTTTTATATACACAAGGAAAATTTTTCTTTATAATTTACTATAATTCGTTACAAATTTTTTAATATTTTTGATGATAAATTTAAGACTACTTGACGCCTATTATCAATAATAATAGGAATTCTTGAAACATAGAAAAAATATTTTATAAATTATAGAATAGTATTAAGAATAATAAAATTTACGAAGCAGAATACTATATAATCAAATTAAACATGTTTTTTAAATTTTTCGTTTTTGTTTTAATTTTCATAAAATTTATACAAGGCGTAATTATCAAAACATTTACATATAGCGAGAAAGAATAGAAACTCTATTACTTATAACCTTGTCTTTTGTTTATATATCTTGGAAAATATTTGTTTGTTTTTCATTTGTTTCATCTAGAATAGTTAAACACGAATGAAAATAACCATTGATCAGCAGATACGATTGATTGCTATGCAATGTAATAAAAATAATCACATTGCACGATAAAATTGACATAAACGCTTAAATTGAATTGAAAATATTATGTGTGTTGTAAAATCCATTTGGGATATTTTATATATTTGTCGTTACATGATATCTCTATTTAAAACAATAAAACATCATGGAATTGTTTAACATATTATAATGCGATATTGAAATTTTATGTTTTAATAAAATTTATTGAGATATATTATATTTTATTGCAATAGATATTAATAAATCAGAGAAAATTATATAAAATTCTTTGAAATATTGTTCTATGAGTAAATTTCTCTTAGAGTAAATTTACTCTAAATCATGATTTAGAGTAAATTTTAAGAGAAAATTCTCTCTGTGTATAAATTTTATTACATTGCCTCTGGAAACGCAATCGTAACAAATAGGAATTGCGATAATTTTTTATGAATGGACAGCATTTACCACGCACAAATAATTAACTCACAATTAACTCTTTGTTTACCGAAGAGGACATTTGATACAATTTATTCTGATGTTCAGCAAGAATCAAAGGATGGCAATTATGCTTTATTACTTATTCACAGATGATAATTATTTATGTAACGTTCGAGCGTGTCTGCACTTCACATTTCAATTTAAATCTAATTTGCTCGGCATTCTTTATGCAATTGAAAGAGCGCAATGTACGGGAATCAGAAGGGTCAAATAATGAAAAGCTGCGATAAATTCCTCGATAATACATGAATTCCGGGAAAATTATTTGGCCGAAATAAATCGCGCACGTGCAGTACTCAATTTTAGATTTTTGCTCCCTCGCAACTTAATTAGTTCGTTATTTTAACTTAATTAATTGCGCTGTATCGCATGGTATCGGTGTAAAACTGCTGATGCGATCCTTCGTTATCGACAAGTATCTCGAATATAAAAGTTGTCTGGTATCACATTTAATCAATAATTCGATCGAGTAATTAAGTAATATCCTTGTTGAATTTCAATATCCGCACACACAATTTGTGAGAAATTTTTGCCAATCTCATCCTTCCTCATTCGCGAAACATTACGAATGTCTGAGTGATTATAATTTTAATTTATACTTTTAATTTTTCAGTGATCATATCTTTTTCACGTTCTTTTTTTTACAATATGATTTTTGTTACACCGCAAGTCAGAAATAACGCACTAACTATTACACGGTTGTATTCTAATGATTAATACACTTGTAATTTTTGTAATTGAGACTTATGTAAAAACAATAAAGAGTAAAGAAGACTTGAAAAATATTAATCAAATAATCATAATATGAGTAATTTATTATTTATTATTTCATTTGTCCGTAAAAAAATATATATTATACGATCGGTGCAAAAAAAAAAGCATAATACACTTGCCAAACTGTTTCAATATGCGTACATTGCAAGCATAAATTGCAATCGCACAGTGTATTTAATCTAAATTATTTAACAAAAAAACGCGACGTATTAATCGCATCTAACACATCGCTTTTATTCCAAAATTTTTCCATAGCCTGCCCGTTATTTGTTTACGACAATTTAAAAAAATATCGAAGGTCGAAAAATTGCAATATTTTTACGAGCACATGTAAATAATACAACGTCGCGGGAAATTTCCAATCAATTTAATACGAATTTCATTCGACAGCAGCACGGAACATTCGCGCCTTAAACGGAAGGGAGGCTCGCTCTAAATCGCATTCATCGACGAGTGCAACGTCGGCTTCGTGGCGACTCTCAAAAAGTCGGCGAAAGCGGGCGCCGCTCGCTTAAAGGTGGGACGTTGCACCGGCTCGTTTTCTCTTATTTTCGCCGCTTGTGACTTTCGTCGAGTCGAGCCCGAGTCGAGTCGAGTCGATCAACCGGCCAGGCTCGCGCCTCGAGACCGGCGTTCTAAAGTGCATATTGCACCGGTCCGCCTTAATGGCAGGATGGCGTGACGGCTTACAGGGGTGTGGGGTGGCGAACGGAACGGAACGGAACGAGACGAGACGAGACGAGACGAGACGAGACGAGACGAAACGAAACCCGACGGGGAACGCGATGTCGCGTGTCCCGCTCCGTGCGTTTCGCGGTCGCGTGTGTCGCGAATATTACACGCGATCTCTGGACCCCGGCCCCGAACTAAAT